AGTGGTGCTCCTTTTGAGTGGGTTGCTTGCACGGAAGGCTTCCGTGTCCAAGGTATTGGTCCTCCTGCTGGAACCTCACATGGTTGGAAAGAGCATACCATCCCATGCATGAGCCTGGTCATCACTGATGCAGGCCATTTGTTTCATGCTTGGCTTAGGCTGAACTTTTATGTAGTGGCTACCATGCAGTTACAGCTAAAAATCGCCACCCCAAAGGGTGCATTGAGGGAGAGGGTGAAAAAAATCCCCAGGCTTCTGGGTGCCCTTTGGTGTAGGGGTTGGTTTTCTAGCTTTGGCAAAAGAGAGACTTGGGTTTCAACCTCTTTGTAATATAGTGACCTCTCCTGCATCCCATACTGTCTGGGCTTTAAGTTAGCACACCACATAACCCAAAGTAAGCATTCTGCCAAGGTTACCTGTCATCTTTAGCAGCAAGTTTAGGTGTGGCAGTGTAGACTTTGAAGATCTAATGTGAGTCAGTACAGGTGGCCTAGTTCTGCAGAATTCCAGTTTGGGCCTCTGTTGAGCTCTCATGACATGAAATACAATGAGATAGGAGTGACACCAAGGAATCCCACTGATCAGAAGTACCGCAAGGAGAGAGATTCAACAGAGAGCATTGATCAAGGTGGTGCTGTACTTGTAGAACAGAGGACATTGATTGAGGATGTGGTACTCAGGGGCAAAGTGTTGTTAATGTGGGTGTGAGGCTGTAAGGCCTCTGCAAGCCACTAAACCGCTCTATCACTTTGATCATCATGAGCATTGCATGAGTCTCTCCATGCAAAGTGCTCAGAATAGGGTGGTATAGAGTGTGTGTGCAAGAAGCTTGTGGTAGTGTAGAACTCTGGAAGTCAAGTTCCAGAGAGGGTGGTGGCCACGCAGGCCTTGCCTGCACCTGACTCACTCCAACTCTGCCTGCCTGTGAGCCTCAACATCAGCTACAACTTGTAGGGGCTGTGCAGGGAGCCTTAGGTTTTGCTCAGTATCCCTGTGCCTCTATGATCCAGTAGTGCCACGAAGCTGTGCATGAAATAAATTACTCCAAAGCCTGGAGCCAATGCCAGCCCTCAACCTGGGGCCCGGATACAATTACCACGGCCTATAGCATGGCAATCCTGAATGATTTCTCAAGGGTTCTGGGTACATAAGTGAGATACAGAAGTCATAACGTCATTCTGTTTGTGGCAGGGTGCTCTAGGACTTAAAATAACCCTGTGAGGTATAGCAACAAGTTTATAGCAATCCTTTTTTAATGGATGAGGAAACTAAGGGAACCAGGGTTTTGCTTTTGGTTTGTTTTTGTGCCAGTACTAGGGCTTGAACTCAGCCTGGGTGTTATCCCATTGTTGGTGTGCTCAAGGTGGGTACTCTACCACTTGAGTCACAAATCCACTGCTGGCTTTTGGTGGATAATTGGAGACTGAGTCTCTTGGACTTTCCGGACTGGTCTGGTTTTGAACCTCAATCCCCCTATCTCAGATAGTAATTCAGATGATAGCTACTAGCACCTAGCTTGGCGCATAGTAGTTAAATGACCTTCCCTACCCAGAGGCTGTGGAGCTCAGTCATTTTCTGGAACTGTCTGCCATGTCCACCCTACTCTGCAGTACAGGGCTGAGTTGGTAGGCATTATCAGGGCCTAGCTTAGATTGGCTACCAGTTGGGGCATGATTGGGTTAATCATTTTGGAAATCAAAGGTGACTCTGGGGCCTCTGGAGTTTTCAGACCTCTGTCCTATCTTCTCCTGGTCCTCTTTTCCTCCCCTCCCCCCACCTTGTTGCTTTTGTCTCTGAGGGAGACAGAGGCCCCTTGTCCTCTGAATTCTGAATCCTGAGCTCTACACAGAGCAGTGCCCAGTGCTGCTTCTGGGCACTTCTTCCCTGACATTAGCAGGCCACCTTTTCATGGAGAACTACATGCGACTTGCTAATAGGAACGAATCAAACCCTGTTGCAGAAGGGGACAAGTCCCTGGTCAGAAAAATAGAATAACAAGCTTGTACTTGGGCCTCTGTCTTATCCCATCTGGGAGGCCAAGCCTGTGGAGTCCTCTCCTAGATCATCCCTTCTCTGAGTTGTCCCCTCTCCTAAGAGACCACCTCCTCTTCAATGTCTCTGTCTCTGGTGCCAGCCTGCAGCAGCCAGGGAGAGACCTTCAGGGTGACTATGGCATATCTGGCCGTTTGAGGAACTATGGTGCCCATAGAACCTTGCTGGCCACCAGCAGCTGCACTTGTGCCCTGAAAAGATGCTGTAGCAGGAGAACCACTGGGCCCACTGTGTGTCCCATGTTGCTGCTCTTGTGAAAGGGCTTTACTGGCATAAAAATGCCTGGAAAATACACAAAGGAAGATGGCTGCCTTCCAGAACTCAACTGTTTACCTTCAGTGAAGCGGCCAGGGACACAGGGAGCTTATTTTCCAAACAGTCCGTGGTTGTCAGGTCTACAGTGTTCAGGCTGATGCCAGGGCATCCCCTCTGCCCGCTTCTTTTCCCAGTCCTCAGGAGACCGTTGGCCCCTGCAGGCTGGTGTCTGCCCCGTCATACTCCAGGGAGACTGGGAGGATTCTTTGGTGACGCGGGGCTGGACGCGGTAGTTCCGCCTGGCCCTGGGGAGTGTGCCAGCGTCACTCTCAGACTTAGTTCTCTTGTGCAGCTGTCTTGGTCTGAAAAAAAATGGCCTCTTGTTTGTGGCATCTGTCAAATGGAGCACAGAAGAAATGGACTGTCTGTGGCCCCGCAAGAGTCTCCTGTTCTCTTTTTCTGCTGGCTTCTCTACTCTTGAAATTATGCTTTTTCCCCGCCCCCCCCCCCCCTTCCCAAGAACCAGGCGCCAGTAGCTCACATCTATAATTCTAGCTACTCAATCTGAAGATTGAGGTTCAAAACCAGCCTGGGCAGGAAAGTCCGTGAGACTCTTATCTCCAATTAACCACCAAAAAAATGGAAGTGGAGCTGTGGATTAAAGTTCTAGCCTTCAGTGAAAAAGTTGAGCGAGAGTACCCAGGCCCTGAATTCAAGCCCCAATACCAGCACTAAATAAATAAATGCCTTGGGAAAGGAAGGATTGGATGGAAATGTGGCATGAAATGTGTAAATAGAGTCAGGAAGGTTTGTGGTTTCATCTCTTTATAAGAGGGAAACTGACCCAGAGGCATCGTGAGCCAGGTGGGTGGCTTGGCTGGCGGTTTTCCTTGCTAGGGTTTCTATGTTCTGGAGGTGGGAGGTGTACTCTTGGCTCCTGGACTTTCTGTGAGGATGAACATGTACTCAAGTCTCAGCAGACACTTGGGATGTGACCCTTCTCATTCTTGTCCAGCAGCCCCCGGAGATGGAGTTGATACCTTGGATGTCTGGGTCTTGCTTTATTTTGTTTTGTTTGGAATTGTATACAAGCTTGTCACCATGGGGAAGAGAAGTGTATTCCTTAATATTTTCTTATTGTGTGGTCTCTGGAATTTTTTTTTCAAATTTGAGGTGACCCCTTAACATCTCTCCTGGCAGACAGTTAAAAAGAGAAGTCAAGGAAAGAGCTGGCACATTCCAAAGATTTGTCTGAAAAGGAGTTAAATAAAGGACTGTATCTGACAGGTGGGGGCAGGCTTGAGGGATCAAGCAGCTCAGTGTGAACAGGTGTGGCAAGCTGTCACTACCCCTAGGCCTAGAGGGATAAGGGGGCCGAAGATGTAAGTAGAACTGCAAAGATAGTGGTTGCTCAGACAGGGGATGTGAATGCTGCTAGAAATAGGACCGGGGTGGGTGTGGGTGAGTCCCTGATCTCCTGCTCCTCGCTCTCCTCTTCTGCTGGTGTCCCTCATTATTCTGACTGGCCAGGTGGCAGTGGCTCAAGGACAGCAGCCCAGGGTCCAATGGGCATATACAGAGAAGAGATGGCAGAGTGGAAGGGCAGACTGAATGCTAGGTACCACTTAGGTCCAATATGTATCCTAGGCCCACCAAGATCCTGGGAAGGTTTTGGACATTTCTACCCTCCAATTTCCTCGTTTGCAAAATAATTTCCCTTAGTGGCTGGAAATAAAAGGAAACAAATGCATTGGAGCTGTGAGCATGGTGCTGACTTGGAACAATCGTTTGTTACTGATGTTCAGTGTCTTCACTAAGGATGTGGCAACAGCCTTAAGTTCTGGAGGAGCTGCACTGGGTTGAGGCAGGGGCAGGGCTTGTGGCCTTCTCTGGCCTCTGCTGGAGGCTGTGTGGGTCAACCAGGTGCTGGGCTGGCGCCACTGCTGTCAAGGGACTGGCTTTGCAGGTGGTGGTGGCCAAGGGCCGGTCGCAGACATCTGGCAGGTCAGGAAATGTGGTGTCAGGCTGCCCTGGCTGTTTGGCAGGTGCTCCTGGCGTGGAGTCAGGTGATGTCGACTGTCAGCCGGAGGGCACTGGCTCCCCTGGGCCCTGATCTTCCCAACCCTGTGTTCCTGAAAAAAATAAACACATTCCCCGGTGGAGCAGGGCAGGCCGAGCTCATCTGACCAGAGACAGCCCTGTGCTCCTCCGCGGTCGTGACAAGCTCCAGCTTTAGTGTGGAGCGCTAGTGGCAGCTTCTCAAGGCAGTTACTCCTGGCCAAAACACCACTCTACCAAGACTTCTTATACTCTCATGGAAAGAGTATCGGTGTAGATCTAAGTTCTGATCCGGCTGTGTGATGTTAATCGTTTTATTTAACCTCTCTCTGAGCCCTAGTTTCCCAAGGTTGTTGGGTAGATGAGATGTGTGTCCAAACAGCCAGCACACAGCAGCATCACTTGCTTGCATGATTTCTGACCCTGTGTGGCATAGGACTTGGGACCGAGAACTACCTATGCAGGGTCTGCCCTCAAGGTATTAGCAGCAGTGCTGATTTGGGGGTGCTCAGGGAGCTCATCTCATCTGTAGTCCAGTCTATAACCCCCTCTGGCAGTGTGCCCATAGGCAGTAAGTAGGAGGGGCAGTGGACTTGGGGCTAAAGTTGCCACTCTTGTGTGTTCCTGCCTTACAGCTGAACCTCAGCCAACCAATCGAGGAGCAGGGCCCCCTGGATGTGATCATCCACAAGCTGACCGATGTCATCCTGGAGGCTGACCAGAATGACAGCCAGTCCCTGGAGCTGGTGCACAGGTTCCAGGTGAGTGGGGGTCTGTGGGAGGGTGGGGAGGAGAGCGCAGACCTGTGGGCAGCCTGGAGATGTAGCAGCTGTCTTGTAGTGTCACTCACAGGCATGGCTCTGTGCTGGCAGGCCCTGAGTCCACAAGCAGGTGCTTCCTGGCAGTCTAGGCCTGTGTGGGTGTAACATGGGGACTGAGTAGACATGGAGGCTCCCGCCACCCCTGCTTGATCAAGATGTGACTTCCATGTCCTCAGAGATCCCTGTCCCCAGGGCCTTTGAACTAAAACCTATAGTGGTGATGAAGAGCCCTCCACTCTCCCCTCTAACCCAGAGTGCACCTTGTTGGGTAGAGCTTGAAATGGACTATCTCTTGTCGTTGTCCCGTTCCGCCCCTCCCCCCTCCCCTCCCCTCCCCCCAGTTTCCTAAGCAGCAACCTGTCCCTTGGTGATTACCCACCACTCTGCAGCTGCCTGACACCACTGACCTGCCCCCTTGTGGACAGATATGTTTTCTCTCTGGAAAGCAGTTTGGGGATCATGAAACAGTCATCTCTTAGCAAACACAGCCCCGGTAGTGGCTGTTCCCAGGCCTCCTTGGTAGATCACTGTGCTTGCATGTCTATCTCAGGACAAAGAGTCTCTTGTCACCCTGCAGCCACACTGCTGACAGTATTCTCTCCTACATGTTCAGGTCACTTCCCTGTGTCGGTACCCGCTTCCTGGTAACTCCCTGTCACAGTTATGTTTCCTGTGTTTCCCCATGGAGGGTGGTCCCCAGTGCAGTTGGGGTCTGTCCCCATGTCACACCCTCTGGGGCCTCTGCTCTGCTTGGGACTTGAAGCCCCTCCCACTTGCCAGTTCTCTCCTCTTTGAGGGCCGTGGCCAGCGAAAAGGTGTGCTCATAGCCTCCAGTCTCGTGGTAAAATGGTACCAGTCCCAGGAACCCCAGCTTGCTTAGAGGAGCAAGTAGGCGGTGAAATGAGGCACCCTCAGCAGGTGCGCTCACTGCAGGTCCCAAAGTCCTGCTGAGTTTGTTCCATGTGGTAGGTGCTCTGGTGGGGTGCAGACAAGACAGGAACCGTGTTTGCCCTGCAGATTGGATGCTTCTTGAGCCCTGCTCTGTGACAGGGCCAGGCCAAGAAATGCCCACCCTGTGCCTACGGAATCTCCGCAGCCCTCAGGCATGAGTCGCCAGCCCTGTTTTCTAACCTCAACAGAGGCCTGGAAGCATGTGGCGTGTCTGCCTGGCGTCAGTTTTGACCTTCTTAGGGGACCCACTGCCTCTTCCCAAAGCGCTTCTGCCACCTCTCCCCTGGCTCACTCCCAATTCCTTGTGTCCTCTGGAAGGCCAGTTAATGTGCCTGTGGTGCTGTATGGGAAGTTCCCTGGAAAGTACAGCTGAGTCTGGCCAGCTGTGTAGACCATTTGGTCTGGATCCTGCATGATCTAGAAGCATTGGGAAGGCAGGGCACCGTGCAATGAGAGCTGGTACTGCTATAACAGGAAGCATCTGCAAGGCAGCCACTACGTGCCAGGCTCTAACAGCATGTACTTACACGTGTTATACATATGAACTCACTTGCTCGTTTCCCACCCAGGTGAGGAAGCAGAGGCAGGGAGGATGGGTAGCTTGCTCAGGCCCCTCACAGTTACAGAGTGGTCAGATGAACCTGCTAGCCTATTCAGGCTCAACTTTGACCCCCCTGGGTGCAGTGTCCTCAACGTTAAGATAGGTACAGGGAGCACCTTGTTCCTGGGGTGGCTGACTGCTGGGTACATGGAATGTGGGATGTGCTGAGTGCTTGCTGCCCTGATGCTTCATGAGGCTGCCTGGTTACTCCTGTTAGGGCCAGCTTTCTGTAAAGGCATGGCTCCCAGCTGACCCTGGCCCCCAGTTACACATCACTGTCGTCCACAGCACGGAGCTCTCTGCCTAGGGCAGGTGGCTGCGGAACAGCAAGGAGAGCTGTTCCAAGTGCAGGAAGGCATACCATTCTCTCAAATGGGGACCTTGGGATGTATGTGTAGCTTCCCACTGCCAGCCACAAGAAGGGTCTTGGCTGGATCCCATCCAGGGTACACACACCCAGCTGGCCACCAGTCAAGGGCACTGACCCCAAAATAGCCTTCCAGGGGTTCTTCTAGGGTAAATTTTCATTATAGTCTGTTTCTGAAGGAAGCCGGATATCTGATAAGCCCAGGAAGTTTCTTCCTTTGTGAAGGGAACAAATATTTGGGGGACTGAGTACCAGGCTGTGCTTTTCAGAGGCCCTGGAAGGAGCAAGAGGGCAGGGTCAGCCTGGGGGACCTACGGAAGAAGCGCTCTGCCACTTGGTGGGGCCTGCAGCTTGACCCTCAGGTGCTCTTTGCTTTCATATTCTTGTTTGTTTGTTTGCCAGTCCTGGGATTTGAGCTCAAGGCCTGGCACTGTCCACGAGCTTCTTTGGCTCAAGGCTAGCACTCTACCACTTGAGCCACAGTGCCACTTCTGGCTTTTTCTGTTTATGTGGTCCTGAGGAATCGAACCCAGGTCTTCATGCATGCAAGGCAAGCACTCTACCACTAAGCCACCTTCCCAGCCCTCTTGTTTTAGTTTTTATCCACTGGATATTAGCAAGGGGCATTGGCCTGGTTTGGGAACTGAGAAGGACAGGGCTCACCGGCACATTCATTTGAGAGTCAGGAAGGCAGCACTCAGGGCTTTCCTTACAGGTCAGTCCCATTTTGCTGCGGCCTGAGACCCGTGAGGCAGGGCAGTGGGCTGCCTTAGAAGGGCTCACCTACAGGGCCTGCTCTGAAGCAGCGCTCACATTTCTGGAGAGGAATTTGGGACTGTATGTTTGGAGAAAGATAAGGAATGTTCTAACAGCTCCAGAACATTCTCCCCCCTTCTCTGTGCGATACTTCCATAAACCTCTGGCCCCCAGGGGTGGGAAGGGAGTCTGAACTGAAGCCAAGCTCTCCCAGCCTCCAGGTGGTCAGATTGGAGGGTGTGGACCTGGTGTACATTGCCGGTCATTCAAGCTTGTGGTCATAGAAACCAATCCCAGCCCCGCCCCCCCCCCCCTTTTTTTTGGACTAGCTTCACAATGGCTGGGCTTCGAGGATCATTGGGATGATTCAGTTGTTTTTCTGCTCCAAGGGTCATGGGGAGCCTGGTGCCACTGTGGCTCTGCCTGAGATTTAGTTATCAGTGTATGGACCTGGGTAAAGGTCCCTGGGGCCCTGCTTCTGTGTGGGCTGGGCAGTCACCTGTGCACAGGGACCCCAGCTCCTGGCCTCTCTCTCTGGGAATAGCTGAAGTCTTCTCCTCCCTGTGGCTCCTGGCACCTCCTGCTGAGTGTGGCTGCAGGGTGAGAGGGCGGCTCACCTCTTCTGCTTCCTCTTTGAGTCCAGAATTGCAATGGAAGGGCCTCGGTGATTGTGACCCTTTTTTATAATATATACTCTCTCCAGAATGAGCTTAGGGAAGGAGGCTGTGCCTCCACCCATCTGAATCAGCCTCAAGAATGTCATTTGTCTCCAGTGTGCCTGGACCCCAAGTATGGACAGAGTTCCACACAGAACTTTGCAGTGTCAGGGTGTTTGTTGAGCATGGTCCCTTGGGCTCCCAGCCAGGAGCAGAGGCCTGCAGCACACTGGGACCTGCTTGCAGCCCTCGGGGTGATTAGTTAGGGGAAGCGCAGCTTTGCACTCTAAAAACCAAAACTGTTAACACGGCTCATGAGCCCTGAGTGTCCTGGTCACCGTCTCTCTCCTCAGCCTACCCCTCCCACAGCAGCTGCTCAGGCATGGCCTTTTCCTCCCCTGTGCCTTTCCACTTCAGCCTCTTCTGAGGCAGTTAGACCCAGCTTGGGTCATCCGCCTCCTCACCTTGCTCCTTTCCTTCCTTGAAAGTCCATAATTCTTTTTCAGTTGCTGTTATGTGCCCTGTACTGGGACAGGGACCACATCTGCTCCTAGCATTGCGCATTCCTACTGCTGCCCTCCATGCCTGGCACTTAGGGAAAATGCCTGTGTGTCTGTCGGTGGACATTTTGGGGGAGGAGATGGCAATAGTCTTATGCTGGGTGAGCCTTGTACTGGGTACCTTGTGGGCAGCTGAGAATGGGGAGAAGACCAGGAAAGTTCACAGGCAGTGTTTTTTGGTGAGGATCCAGCAGGCTGGGGGTGGGGGAGGCGGGAGAAGGGGGCTGTGGAGCTTGGACTTTTTCCTGAAAAGGGTTCAGGGTCAGGCTGGCTGCTAGGAGTGGGTTAGTAGGTGGAAAGAGGCCCTACTCAGAACGGGGCATTGCCGGTGTGAGATGAACTGTGCACAGCCAAGGACCTTCATTAGTGTTGTAAGATGAAGGCCCCAGTGGAACCTCATCTTCATCCCTGGGCATCCCGTGACCCCTCAGCTGCTGAAGTTGGGATGTGTTACCTGGAACAAACAGTAGTCACCCTGCAGTGACCCCAGCCACAGGACTGGAGGCAGGTGGAGCCATGCCCAGGGGGGAGGATGGCATCTGTCTATGGAGGGAGGGGCCAGCAGGGGCATGGCCAATAGCTGGTCAGGTATGCCCAGGCTTCGCTGCTGGCCAAACCTCTGAGCCTCAGGTCAGCTGTCGCTCAGCTGGGCATTAGGGACCCAAGATGCTAGGGCAGTGATCTACTGTGGAGAGGGATGGGAAAGACATGAAGCTCACACTGGCTCTGGTTCTTTCCCACAGTAATGTAGGCCACCCCCTTCCTGGGCCCAATTGATGACAGGCAATAGGATCTCCCTGCCATCAAGGATCAGAGAGCACTATTGTCTTCTCAAGACAGTTGAAAAGCCCTGTAGGGTTATTGGGAGCATTAGACAAATAAGTATGTGCAAGGCCCTTGGTGCTGCCCTGGGTCCAGCACGAGTGAGTGCATGTGCACATGCACAAGTGTTGGCCATCCTCACTGTGGGTGCCTGGCTGTGGTAGTGCATCTGAGACCACCTGCCCCAGGCACTTGTGCACTTGGGAGCTCTCCGCCTCTGGAACATC